CAGGGCAGCTCTGGGAGTCAGCTCACCCAGCTCTGACTCCTCCTTGAATTCAGAGCCACAGATAAATTCAAGGTCTGGTACCCAAGGGAGAAGGTGGGGGAGGATTTGACGGGGACAGAGGCAGAAGAAGAAACTGTTGACTCTAGGTCTCACTTGCCTTGTCCATCAATGGGGCTCTGAATCACCAATGGGTGTTCAACTATTTTAAAGCTGGAATCTCTCTGTATAAGCCAAACCTTCTGCAGAAGCTTACTCTGTGCCTGGCTCCTTTCCAAGTACCTTATATAATATATTTCATTTCACAGAATTGTTATAGCAGTTCCATGAGATAGGTACCCTGAATATGCCCACTTTACAGATGCAGAAGCTGAAGTCCAGAGAGGTTGAGCAACATGTCAATAGGGGCAGAGCTGCTGTGGTTGGAGCAGGAACAGGTGGAGCCTACTAAGGAAACACTTCAAGCTGCTCCAAGGAGCAAGCTGGGAAGTCACATTTCAGAGGCTCCTTCCACTCATACATGTCATGAGTTTGACTCTGCTTAAGACCTCGCTGTGGAGTTGTGACATTTGGGGGCAGTTACGTCAGCACTTTGACTTTGTCTCCCATCTCAGTCTGAACAGGTGATTTAGAAGTTGCTAGAAAGGGGAAAATCAGAAACATGCAATCAGGGATGTGGCTGAAGCAGGCCATGTGGTACGGAAGCAATGAAACTGTCAACAGCCTACCTAGGACCTAAATGGTCACATTCCTGAATTTCTGATTGGAAAGTGGGGGCTTCCCAAGCCTGGAGCCAGCTGATGTCTTAGGTACACTCCAGCTTTTTCTACAGCACCCAAGCCTCAGCCTTCTTTGGTCGATGTCAACTGGCTAGGAGATTGCTGTTCCCTGATACAGTAGTGATGACTTCTGAAAGATGGGGTAATAACAACAGCTATCATTTCTGAGCATTTACATCACTGTGTAAAGCATTTTTATACACATTACCCTATCGAATCCTCTTAAAATTCCTGTGACGTGAACAGGTATCCCTGTGCCCTTACTCTAGTCCCAACCCTGCTGAGTTTACTGTTGCCTCCATTTGAGAGATATAGAAACTGAGGTTCAGAGAGGTGAAATAACTTCCCCCAAGTCACCCAGCTAGTAAACAGCTGAGTTATGCCTTCTGACACCTATGCTCATCTCCTAAACTCAGTTGATAAAGATTTTTGAAAAAGATTTGTGGGGCTTTTTTCTCCTATATAGGAAAACTGGTTTATTTTTCATAATGTTACTGATAGATCTAACATTCTGAAAATATATCCATCAACATGCCCTGAAATGTTCTGAGATGAGTTGGAAACCAGATTCCTGTGACAACTGAGTTGTTTAAAGAAGTTTCCATGGGAGTTGAAGCCATAATAAGACAAATCTTGTTCCCTTATGTCAGTGTCACAACTAACAGGTATATGATGCACCTTGACTTCTAAAGGTTGTTAAAAAAAAAAAATAGAAGAGGTAAATTGTCATTCTTGGCATTTTCCCAATGACATTTGCATTTTCCTTTCTACTGGAAGACCATTTTAGCAAAGAAATGTAGCCTTAGTCACTTGAAACTGCTCTTCCTGAGAAAACAATTGTAGATATAATAATAAAAAAGAATAGAAAATGCCAACAGGAAGAAAGTAATCCACCTAGAATCAGAATCATCATGCCAACTGATTCAGTCTTCCTGTGACATTCACATTCAGGAAGGAAAACTTGGAAATTTTCTAAATTTTAAGGTATGTAAGATTTGCAAGGAGTCAGAGGTGGGTAAAAGGAATTAAATTGCAAACCCACTGGGGAGGGATCAAGTCCAGATTTCCCCAACTCTCAAGAACCATTTTACATGTTCAAATTGCCTCCTAGTTACTGAGTCCCTCTTCTACATAAGGCATAAGGTTGCTATGGAAGGATACAATAAGGTCATGATTGCTTTAAAATTATTCATAATGAAAACACACTTTGAGATTCAATTCTAAATGTTAAACTTAAATTTGAGCAATTTAATTGCCCGTTGAATAGAAATGAAATCCCACTGGCAGGCAGTTATTTCTTACAACCACTGTGTGTGAAATTGAAATCTTAAGATACCATTTCAAATATTCACTTTCTCTAAGGAAGTTCTCCCCAAAGAGTGGTGAAAGATAAGAAACTGACCCAAAGTCATCAGTAATCACTCTTTCTTTACACATTCGGGTCAAAACAGAAGCATATTATTAAAAGGAAACTTCACGTCCCAAAGTTGGCTGTTTGGAGGTTACCTCCTGGAACCCAAAGGTATATTTAATTTAACAACTAACTTAGGCTCCATGCAAAACTATACAGCAAGGAAGGAAGCAACTTATCAGATTTAATAAAAGCAAGCAGATGAAAACACATCACGTAGTCACCAAGATACTAAACATTAAACTGGAAAATGCAAATGTTTTGTTTACGAGCACAAGGAGGTAAAGTGAAAGGACACTGTTCTGTTTGCTTTTTAAAAATGGGACAGGTTTTCAAATCTAGGTGGGAAATTGGGAAGTTCTTATTTTTAACCTCCATTTCACCTTTGAATTTAATTTCAAACTCTTTAAATTCTCCCAATGATTTTTTCCTACAACACAGAAGTTACCATTTATGAGTGCTCAATACACACCAAATGCTTTGCATGCATGTAATCTCATATCCATTATTACCCCCAGTTCATTACAGGTCTACAGGCCACACTGCATGCATTTACTCATTTAATCCTCACAACAGTTGATGCAATAGGCTCTGATACCCCCATTGACAGATAAGGATCCTGGGAGTTTATAAATTCCTACTCTTCCACTAGGTTCACAGGTAGGAAAGTGTGGGTTGTTATGCAGGCAGTCTGACTCCACAGCCACTACCCAATACTGCCTCTTCAGATTAAGTGACTTTCCTAGATAGGTTCCACTAGCTGATAAGTAAGAGCCTAAATCAAATGCAGGCAGTCCAATGCCCAAGTCTTAGGGTTTCACCACCACACTGATTGGTTGTAAGCAGGTGAATTGCTCATCAAAGCCTATTTGTTTATTTTCATTTTTGATTGTAAACTGGTGGGTTATATGTTTATTACATAATTTAGACTGACTTAAAAATGCTAGGCATTTTCCCTTTTTAAACTATAAACAAGGGCCTGAGCAAGAGAAGTTCTTTTTAGATTGAAAGGCTTGAGTTGGACCCAAAGCTGCTCTTAAGACTTCCTTTCAGACACACACACACACACACACACACACACACACACACGAGAGAGTGGAGGAAATTGGGAGAGGCTTTTATTATACCCACAGGGACCCAAGCTTTGGACATGGACATAAGGACAAGAGCATGCAGACAATGATAAATTCTAGATATGCGTGTGAGAAGTTAGGATCAGCTTTGAACAAGGAAAACAAAGCCTACAGGGATGTACTTCTGACTTCAACCACCCTCTTCCAGGGTGAACTCATCCAGACCCTTCAGTATCATCTTTAAAATGGGAATATAGTGTCCATGACCATGATCTAGACTGCTCCTATAAAACCACGGATCCTGAGAATACTGGTATCTTCTTCTTTACAAGACTTGTGGCGTGCACAAGTAGGCCTTTAGTAATAATTTCTGAATGCAATTATTTTCAGGGAACTCTGATGAGGCCCAAGGGACCTAAAGTTTTGCTCTATTGAAGAGAAGACTATTAGCTTCCTCCTCTCCCCTTCTACATTCCCCTCTCTTCTTGAAATTTGCCTTTGAGATTAGAGGGGAAACCTGAACTAAGCAAGTCTGCTTTCTCTCTTTTTCTGACCCAGGGCAAAATAGTCTCCAAGCATTGCTCTCCATCATTGGAGAGGCACTTTTCTCTGCGCAGAGTGCTATTGGCCCTTTACAGGGGCCAGTTTAACCACAGGGGTCCGATTTTTAAAGATGCTGAGGGAGGGAATTCTGCCGCTAGCAGATGGAGAGGAGACAGGCCAGCTTGGTCCCTCCCAACCACCCTCCCTCGGGATTAGCTGCCCCTGGCACTGCTCAGGCGTACCCAGCCCGTGCGGTCCCTGCTCGGCCAGCTCCCGTCGTCTTTTTGGAGCGCGGCCGCAGTCACAAGTCCTCAGCCAGCAGAGCCGCACTGTCTGGGGGGCATCTCCGCGTTCCCTGTCCGCGGACCTGGGACCTCCAACCCCGGACGCGCGCGAAAGCCACTTGGAACGCGTACGTCTCTGTATGTGTTTATTTCACATTCTCGTTTTTTCTTTCTTCCTTGAGCGGCCCTCTGGTCACTTTCAATCTTAGTTAACCAAAGGGGAACGCCGAAGAGGGAAAGCCCTAAAGAATGCTTTACAGGCAACCCAGCCTCCTCTCCAAGGAGAGGTGTTCTCTGAGCGAGTCTCCCTGTCCCCGACGCTGGCCCCTTTAAGAAGCCAACTCAGTCTTGCTGCGGCTGCCGCTGTTTGTATCGCTAATCCCCAGGAGCCCCGTTTAAAAAAAAAGGGAAGAAAAAAGATGGGGGGGGGCGGGCAGCTGTCTCTTTAAATGTGATTTCCTTCTATTGTATTTGAATCGTGATCAGGAAAAAGGAAATGAAACCAGAGACAGAGGGAAGCTGAGCGAAAATAGACCTTCCCGAGAGAGGAGGGAGCCGGGGGAGAGAGGCGCGGTTCCCTCCCCGCCCCCAGGCCGCCGCCCCCTCCCAGCCCTCGGCGGCGAGCTGCGCGCCGCGACCCGGGCTGAAGGTGCGAGGGGCGCGGGGCGGCCGGGCGGGCGCGCACCATCCCCGCGGGCGGCGCGGAGCCGGCGACAGCGCGCGAGCCGAGCCAGACCCGGCGGCGGCGGCGGCGGCGGCGGCGGCGGCGGCGGCGGGACCGGGATGGAAGGTTAAGTCCTGAGCAGCAGCAGCAGCTGCAGCCGCCCGGGGCCAGGCTGCGCGCCCCGGTCCCCGCCTCGGCCGCGGCGCGCCGGCAGCTCGGTGATTCGCTCTCTCTCTTTGGCGTTTGAAGGGAGCGCGGTGACTGTCCTTGAGCGCGGAGGGGCGAGCTCGCCGCCAGAGCGCCGGAGCAAGAAGAGGCGCAGGAGCGGCGGCGGCGGCGGCGGCGGCGCCCGAGCACCCGAGGGGGTCCGAGCCCCGGCAGCCGGCCAGCCCCGCGCCACAAAGGGAGCGCCCCCGCCGCCTGGCACGCCACCTCCCTCCCCAATGTCCTCGGCCATCGAGAGGAAGAGCCTGGACCCATCTGAGTAAGTGCGGCGCCCCTGCCACCGAGGGTTCCCGGCCTCGCGCCCCGGGGCGGCGGGGTGGCGCGGGCGGCCGGAGAGAAGGCTCCAGGTGCGCGCCCGCGGCGTGCCCTTGCTTCCCTCTGCCGTGCGCGGGTCTCCCGCATCCTCGGGTGACTCCGGGGACACTGGGAGAGGGGCTGGGTGGCGGGCGGCAGGAAGAGGGGTCGGCCCCGCGCCTGAGCGGGCCCCTGGCGGCTCCCTGGGACGCTCCCTAAAGCCACTTCGGGCCAGAAAGTTTGCACCGGAGCAGGCACAGGGGGAGGTCAGAGGCGCGCCGGTGCAGCCCCGAGAGCCTTCAGGACTCGATTCTGCTCCCTTCTCCCCTCTCGTTCCTTCTCTTTGTCCGTTTGGCCCTGGAAAGGGGGATACTACAAGTGGAGCCCCCGCCCCGGGTCCCCGACGGTCCCCTTCCGGGTCCGCAGGTGGAGCCGTGGCCCACCGCGCCGGGGACCCGCGGGTGATGAGGTGCGAGAGTTCACCTCGGAGCTCACTCAGGCCTCCAGAGACTTTAGAGCACCCGAACAACGCGGGAGTTAGTCTGGATTCTCGGACACGCCTCTCCCCTCGGTGTCCACCGATGGGTACCTTTGAACCTTGAAAGTTTGTGCACCATTTTGGATATAGGTGAATTTTTCCGGTTAGCGGAGTCTTACGGCTTTTGTCACAATCTCAAAGGGTGTAGGGTCTGGGAACCAGAGCTCTAAATGAACCGCACTAGTTTTCTGACCCCCTGACTGGTTTGAAGTATCCCCCTCTTCCCGATCTTTACCTTCAGCCCACTGCTCAGTGTTAACATGGGGAGAAAGGGATGTTGAAGATATCATTTTCCCGTCAGCGCAAATGCCCTTTTAAGATTCATTAGCTGTCTGGTTTTGAGAATTTTTATTCCTTTGAAGTCCCCATCTAAATCCTTTGAAGGGATTTGTTACACAGACCAAAGGAGCTGGTTAATGACTTGTCCATTTGTGCTTTTAAGAGGCATTTGTTTTGTTTTCTTTTCCTGCTTTAAAAGAATTGTGCTTTCCTGATTGAAATACCTCCTCCTCCCAATTTCAGCCTCCTATGGTGTTTATATACCTGGGTTTTACCCTCAGTTACCAGCATAAAAGCTCAGCGTGTTCTCATAAAACACAGGAAGTAACCATGACCCAGTGAGAATATAAACATCACTATTCAATCTTGAAGGTTCAGAAGCCAGAGCTACAAGGAGTCAGGTTTGTTCTAACAAAACCCCAGCTTCCTTAAATTCTCAGGGAAAAAAATAACATTGCTTTTATTTTTTTTTTTAAGTATTTATTTAGGAAAACTCTGGAAAGAGTGCTTTGCTCACTTTCTCTCTCTCTCTTTTTTTTTCTTAACAAACCTAGAATTACAACTTAGCCCTGAGTTTTCAGAGCCTGGGCAAGATGATAGTAATACAATAAGAGAGTGAATTGGATGAATTACCTTTGAAAGGTGCCTAATGCCTTTTCTATCAGCAGAATTTAGTCACTCATCTTTTTATTAGAAGATAAACCTGGAGGTTTCAGTTCCCTGAAGGAAGTTTGCTCTTTTCAAAGTTTATGCTTTTTTCACAAAGAGACTGCAAAATTGAAACATCTTCACCTCGCAGCACAGCAGGCGTCTACGGAAGGATGCTCAGTGGGGTGTTCTTCTCTATCCTTTGCTTCACTATTTGCCCAGTGAAGACAGGCTCTAATTGGAGATGGACCAGCTAGCTGAGAAATTATTGCAGCACACTTCCCCCCCCCCATATTTTTCTTGGAAACTGTTGAGAAATTATCCCAGAAATCCAGGCCGAAGTGTATTGAGGTGTAATATTCAGATAGGCTCTAGGAGAATGTAAAATATTAATAAGAGGGTGAGTCCCACAGTTATGGGCTTGGAACATCCACCAAAGATAATGTGATATTATCTTTAATTATAGAAAGATAGAGCCAATATCTTATCCAGTCCTTTCCTATCTCATCTTAGGCCATCACAGACAGTAGCTTTTTGGCTTAACATTTCTCCTGTGGACCACTCCCCTACCAGATGCTTCAGTGTATACATACCTGGGTCAGTGTGACTGGGTCAGTCTGATCAGCACCTCCAAATTACACCCAGAAACTTGCCTAGGCCTATGCACATGAAACATTTAGACAGAAAGACAGCCAGAACTCACACACACACAGATTTTCTCTACTATGCCATCGGTGGCCCCTGCTGCCTCCCTGTGAATAACAGGAGCAGTTCATTTTAATTCCAGGCAGTTTTGCACCAGCTAAGTGCAAATTCTCTTCTTTCACAGTTGGTTGGCAGGATCTGCGTCAGGGCATCCAGTGGTGTTGAGGTTCCATGAATGTTTCTGAAAGCCTAAAGTGAGGCCACGGGCTGTGAAAAGGGAAGAGAAGTGATTCTGAGGCGATGCACGGGAAAATGCTGGGTGTTTTATTTTTTAGGAGGGAGGGTGGACGTCCTTGTACATAACCTGTGGAAACAAAGACAAGTCAGGCTTCAGTGGATGCTTAAAACTCTAAAGTCGTGAGTTTTTAGGAGATGATTAGTTTGGGTTTTACACTTCCCTGGTCTGCAAGGAGATCATCTCACAAAGGACCCTCATACCTGTTCTACAAAGTGTGGGCTTGGGTTCAATATTCCTGAATATTCACAGCGAAGTGTGCACTTTACAGACAGAGTTCTCTGAAGGTGTCAGAGTGTGTTATCAACACTGATTCCCTTAGCCTCATCCTTCCTAAGTATAAAGGGCCTTAAATGCTGTGGGCACAGGCCAGTCAGGGTGCAAGGTCACCAAGTAAGCCAGCATCAGCTGGAAATAGGAAACACAGATTTATATCCTCAAGGTACCAAGGGGGAAATTCACTTTGGGAATTTCACAGTTGGAAGCAGGTCCATTTTTCCAAACGTAATAGATTTCTGAAAAATAGATTTGTGTTTGAGTGAAGTTCAAGAGAGCATTTGTTAATTGCTACAGATCAACAGGTATTCAGTTTTTCCTATGTCCCATCTGGTGCAGGAATCATTTCTCTCTCTATTTTTTTTTTAATCCTCTTCTGGCAAGTAAAGTTATTTCTTTTAAAATGTAAAACAAAAGGATTCAGATTCCAGTTAAGTGAACTGGAGACACTATATGATTTTGTAATGAAAGAACACATGTCTCAGGCTCACTCTTAACAATTGCCTGGAGGAGATTTCAGTGTTTAATTGCCTTCCACACTCTCTCCCGAAAAGAACTATTGCCCCTTCCCCATTTTCTTTCCTAAATCAACTTCATGCGAATCAGTTTTGCTGCTGTGAAAGTGTTCACGTGCAAAAAGGTCTGTTTGATCTCCTTTATAAATATAACAGTGGCTTATTTAACACCCGAGATTTTTCCTCAAGGACTCATTCCATAAGAAGGATAGGATGTGGAGTTTCTGTTAAAAATAATAATAATGAGAATTTCTATTATATCTTGATGGTATTTTTATTTGGGAAAGAGAAAGCAACCTAAAATAATTTGGGGGCCCTTTCCTCCTCATCTCTACATTTGTGCAGTTGGAAAGGGATAGAGGCAAGGTGGCACAGAGATTCCAAAGGGAATTTGCAGATGTTTAACCCACTGGGTAGTCACTGTTTGGGCCACAAGCAACTCTTAGAGTCCTGGTGCCTCCTCTGGGGCTGGGCTCCGGGATATGGGGGGAGGAAAGAGATGAGGTGTGGAGGTGGAGTCGGAGGGGAAGGGGGGATCAAGAAGAAGAGAGACCACAGGTCTGGGAGGGGGCTGGGCTGTAGCGGGGAGGGGCAGTACCCTTTGCCTGGGTGCCTCTTGGTGCCCCGCCCTTGCTTCTTCCAGGATCTAGAACGTAGGGGCTAGCCCTTTCCGGTCCTCACCCAAGGCTGGCAGGGCCTCTCTGCCGTCTGCCCTGGGTGTATGCTCGCCCCTCCTTTCCCCGATGTCACCAGACAACTAAGTGAGGTTCTCTGTGGGGTGCAGCGTGACTCCTGAGCCCCTGATGGTGGCCTCCCCAAGGTGAGGCATCCCTAATGCCTGGCCTTCCTTCCAGGGAGCCGGTGGACGAGGTGCTGCAGATGCCCCCGTCCCTGCTGACATGCGGAGGCTGCCAGCAGAACATCGGGGACCGCTACTTCCTGAAGGCCATCGACCAGTACTGGCACGAGGACTGCCTCAGCTGTGACCTCTGCGGGTGCCGGCTGGGCGAGGTGGGCCGGCGCCTCTACTACAAGCTGGGCCGGAAGCTCTGCCGCCGAGACTATCTCAGGTGCGTCCTCGCCGCCCTCCTGGGCCCCTGGCTCTGTCTCCCTGGCGCCTGCCTCCGGGGCCAGCGAGATCACGCTGGTCTCAGCTGCCCTATGCAGGGGAGCAGTTGCCCTTTCTTCCTGTTAGAGAAGCATGTTCTCGGGGACACCTGCCTGTGTGGTCCAATTCTCATATTTTAAAGGCAAGAGAGTGATGAGCACAGAATTCAGAATAGTGGTTCCCTCTGGGGGTCAGACAAGGGGAGAGGGTGGGGGAGGAAGGTGCAGGGTATGCCAAGGGAACTGGGAGTTTTGAAGCTTGTAAGTTTGAGTGTGGATTCCTAGCAGCTCATTTGATGCTTCAAAAACATATGCATAGGTTTCTAAGGATTCTTTTGTAAGCTCTCGATATAATGTGATGAGAAATTTAAAAAGAGTAGCATGGAAACATACACACTAATGTCTGTAAAATAGATAGCTGGTGGGAACTCGCTATATAACTCAGGGAACTCAAACTAGAACTCTGAGACAACATAAAGGGGTGGGATGGGGTGGGAGGTTGGAGAGAGGCTCAAGAGGAAAGGGACATATGTATGCCTATGGCTGATCCATGTTAATGTATGGCAGAACCCCACACGATATTGTAATTATTCTTCAATTAAAAAAACAAATTTTAAAAAATTGAAAGTATAATCTTGCCCCGGCACTCCAAGCATTTTTGGTCACAGCAGGAAGGCCCTGAAGTCAGCAGTAGATTTGAGCCCCGACACCACTGCTTTCTAGCTCTGTGACCTTGGACAAGTTACATAACCTTCCTAGGCCTCAATTTCCTCATCTGTAAAATGGGGTTATAGAATAGCAGTACCTACTTCCAGGAAGGGGTGGGAATTAGATGGGGTGGTACATATAAGGTGCTTGGCGTGGTGCATAGGTATCAAATAGATGTTAGCTGTTGTCTTTCAGTAACCCTCATGACATTTATCATTAGAGTCTTTCCCGACCTAATAAACAAAGTGATGGAAGACTGGAAAGGCAAAAGAGGAACTCTGGAACACCCACTGAGACAGGCGCTGAAGATATCTCGGATACTCTGGGTCACACGTTTGGCTGTGTGAATTTTCTGACTCTCAAACGAGTGCCTTTGCCTGGAATGTTCTAGTTTCACATGAAATTTCCAGTTTCATATTAGCTGCGGCAGAGGTAACTGTATGCCGTCTGCTGTCAAATCTGCTCGACTGTGTAGCTGTCAGTTTTTTTGCCATCTTCGTGGGGTACAGGGTCTGTGGAGCATGCAGCCTTAATACATTAGGACCACCCAACCCAGGGAAGCTTGTTTAGACTCCAGTGCCCTTGGCTGCCAGGCCAGCTCTTTCTCCCAAACCTGCCCTCAGAGCATTTTACATTAAAAAAAAAAATTGCAGGCAATTCCATGGTGAAGCAAGCTTATCTGTTTACCCAGAGACTGACAAAATAAGCTTTTTCTCCCCCCTAAATTTCCTGATTAAAGTCCTTGCAAATTTGGTGGTTCACAGAAAAGAAGTCAAGTTTCCAAGGATCATGATTTTAATTTTGACCATTTATTATTATTATTATTATTGTTATTAAGGAACAAGAAAATAGAACTGGGATAAATAGAGACCTGATTCTGCTCGCTACTAGTTTGCCAAGTCAGTGCGGAAAAGCAGACGGGTAAATGATTCCCACTGGGCCCCCTGACTACATCCCTGTCAAATCATTTGAATCTTATTAAAGGAAGTACAGATAGAGTAAGGTCAAAAGAGCCGAGGTTTCTCCCTATCTCTGAGCTTTTATATAACATTCAAGAAGAAAACCCCGTGCTGCCTGGGCTTGTTAATCTCTTGCATTTTTAAAAAGGAGAGGAAAAAAAAATAAGTCTGGGAGAACCCAATGTTAATTAACTTGTGTCTTGGTGACATGAAATAATTCTTCTCCCTGCTACATTCCTAGGCAACATGTTAATTAACTCTGTTAGTGCAGGCGTTTCCAGCCATCCTTTCATATTTATATTATTGTTATTAAAATGGGCAGGTGGAAGCTTCAGACATGACACCTCTTGACAGAGGAGAAAAATCGTTTCTTGCTGCAGGCATGGCCCTTCAGCCATGGACTTGTTTGCTTGCATTCTTAACATAGCTGACAGTGCCTTTGCAAAAGGCAAGTTGGAGGAGTGATGAAATGTGTCCTGGGATGGTGTTCAGTCCTTACCCCCACCCCCCGCCCCTCACCTACCCTCACCCCGGGAGAACTTCTCCCCAGGGTTTCCAGTTGCTGCCTGGCCTGTTAAAATCTTTTTTCAGACATTTAGCCTCACATAATCAGGAGATCTCCATGCAGATCCTAAATAAACTCTTAGTCGCTAAATTGTGTCCGACTCTTTGCGACCCCATAGACTGCAGCCTGTGGACAGTCTCCTCTGTCCATGGAATTCTCCAGGCAAGAATACTGGAAAGGGTAGCCATCCCCTTCTCCAGGGGATCTTTCTGACCCAGGGATCAAACCCACGTCTCCTGCATTACAGGCAGATTCTTTACCATCTGAGCCACCAGGGAAGCCTGAACCTAAATAAACTCTGTGCTATTTATGTTGTTTTCTTGGGAATTTAACAGTAGCTGTTAATGTCAGTACCCAGTCCAGATCCCCTCAGATCCCTTTTTATGATTTTTGTGCTCAGTGCACCCCCCACCCCCTACTGTTTTACCTTCAACAGCTGCTGCTGCTGCTAAGTCGCTTCAGTCGTGTCCAACTCTGTGCGACCCCATAGACGGCAGCCCACCAGGCTCCCCCGTCCCTGGGATTCTCCAGGCAAGAACACTGGGGTGGGTTGCCATTTCCTTCTCCAGTGCATGAAAGTGAAAAGTGAAAGTGAAGACACTCAGTCATGTCTGACTCTTAGCGACCCCATGGACTGCAGCCCACCAGGCTTCTCTGTCCATGGGATTTTTCCAGGCACAAGTACTGGAGTGGGGTGCCATTGCCAGAAGCCTGCCCAGTACCCCCTCCCACCCACCCACTGCCCAGCAGACCTTGCCCAGTAGCTGGCATTGCCAGAGACCGAAGTCTAGTAATCTTGCCTGGAGCCAAGACCATTTGGAGACACAGCTTACACCCCAGAGTCCCTGTGCATTCAGGCCAAAGCTCCCCTCTGAGGGACTTGGCTCAAGATTGCAACTTGGCCTGCCTTCCATCTTCTGTCTGGTTTCCCTTGCCACTGTACCTATTTTCCCTGATGACACATCCTTAATAACTCTTGCCTCAGGGTCAGTTTCTGGAATAGCCAGCCTAAATTACCAATTCTTCAGAAGTGAATGTGCAAGTTAGATGTCAAGTCCTAGCTTATTTCCACTTAGTGAAGTCTCAGCAAACCAGAGCTGGAAGGGGCTCTAGAAGCCTTCCTTCCCTTCCAGTTCTCCTGTCTTACAGCTTAAGACACGGAAGCCAAGGCAGAGGATATCCGTGGCTCCAGGAGGACTGGCTGGTTGAAGGTGATGTTGGGATCTGAAGGTGTCTCCCAGATATTAGTCCGTCATGCTTCCCGTCATTAACTGCCTGACCTGTGTTGTAATTTACCTCCCGCTTCCCCTTCCGTAAGGGCCACACACTCCAGGCAGCTGGCTGCTCTCCAAGCATGCTGTTTTGTGAGTCGTTTATTCTTACTCAGGCCCAAGCTCCTCTTACTGAACAACCAGGAAATCAGAACTGTCATTCCACCCCATGCCCTCCAAGGTGGCAGTTCCTGACAGCTCCACCATCTGCTGTCTTGGGATGAAGTGTTCTTCCCCCAGTAATGAGTTTGCTCCCAGGTGGGGCCTTGAAAACACTCGGAGATCTTCTCATGGAGAGTGGGATTTGGAGGGAACTAGCCAGCCTGGCTGTAACCACGAGCTCTCCACCCACAGACCACATCTTCCTGGTTCCATTCATTCTGCTCTAAATTTATCAACTGCTCTCGTCGACCCTACATCCTCTCAGAACCTACCAGTTGATTCTCTGCTATGCTGAAGTTCATTAGAACTTCCAAGAAGAACAGGCATTTACCTAAAACTGCCCTGAAGGTTTCCTATGGAAAAGACCTGCTGACAGGCCATGTCATCAGGCAGCAAGACTGGCCCCTTTGGGAATACCCCCAAGATGTGTTAAAAGCCAGCCAGCATCGGCTTCAGCCTTGAGTGCTCGCTTCGACCTGCTGCGCTCCACCCTCCAGCAGCTGGGTGAGGAGGGCGCTGTGATGACTGTCATTCCACAAGCTCAGTCGGCAGAGGTCTCCGCAGGGTCACTCAAGTGCGCGGGCCGGTCCCGCCCGAGTCTGAGTCTTCTGATTGCAGTGCTTGTGTTACCCAACTCGTGCGGCTGACTCTCAAACTTCAGCCTGCATTAGCGTCGCCTGGCCGTACTCAGGGCCAGACAGACGGTTGGGCCTCTACCCACGTCTCTGTCAGGAGGGCCTGAGTGTGCATTTCTAGCAAGTTTCCAGGGGATGCAAATACAGCTGGTCCCAGGACCACACTTTGAGAGCCACTGCTCTAGGCTCCGGCCTCCCTAGGTGGTACTAGTGGTAAAGAACCCGCCTGCCGGTGCAGGAGATGTAAGAGACCTGGGTTTGATCCCTGGGTCGGGAAGATCCCCTGGAGGAGGGCACAGCAACCCACTCCAGTATCCTTGCCTGGAGAATCTCATGGACAGAGGAGCCTGGCAGGCTGCAGTCCATAGGGTCGCACAGAGTTGGACAGGATTGAAGCAACTTAGCATGCACTAGGCTGCACCGTAGTGCATCTCCTGCTTTGGCACCACATATTGCTTAAAATAAATGACCAGTCAGCTGAGACTTAGGAGGGTCTTGATTTTGATGACAGAAGAGAAGTTTTTCAGAGACTTATGCCATTGGGCCAGCAAGGATCTTGAATTATTATCTTCCATTCTATATGGAGAGATACTACTGCTCGTCCCCCGGGTGGCCGAGGGACTGTTCACTGTTGAGCTCCCTCCACCTCCCAGAAGCTGGGGTCCTACAGAGCCGTTGTGTGTGATGGCCTGTGTGGCTCTGGAGAAGTTAAACGACCAACCCTCCCCGTGGGTGGAATTAGAGCCGTTGATGTGATAGTGTGTGGGAGGGAGCCTCAGAAAGATGCCCATTTCATTGCATTCCTCTCAAGAAGCCCCCTGGGTTTACTCCTGCTCCTCTTCTAAAATAAAAGTTCCCTTGGGAGGAGACACATAATCCATGCCTAACCTTTTTTATTTTTTAACTTTTTTTTTAATTGGAGGAAAATTACTTTACAATGTTGTGTTGGTTTCTGCCATACAACATGAGTAAGTCATAATTATATATGTAAAACTATATATATTATATATATATATCTCCCCTCCCCTCCCCTGATTTACCCCTCTAGGTTGTCACACAGCACCAGGCTGGGCTCCGTGTGTTATATAGCAGCTTCCCGCTAGCTATCTATTTTGCCCATGGTAGTGTATCTACTTTCTCAATTCATCCCACCCTCTTCTTCCTCTGCTGTGTCCACAAGCCCGTTCTCTACATCTGTGTCTCCATTCCTTCCCTGTAAACGGGTTCATCAGTACTATTTTTCTAGATTTCATATATACGTGTTAATATATATTTGTTTTTCCCTTTCTGATTTACTTCACTCTCTATAACAGGCTCTAGCTTCATCCACCTCACCACAACGGACTCAAATTCGTTCCTTTTTATGGCTGAATAAGATTCCATTGTGCGTGTGCGTGTGTGTGTGTGTGTGTGTGTGTGTGTGCATGCACCACAACTTCTCTATCCATTCATCTGTCAATGGACATCGAGGTTCTTCCAATTCCTGGCCCCTGTAAATAGTGCTGCCATGAACAGTGGGGTACATGTGTCTTTTTGAATTGTGCTTTTCTTAGGGTATATACCCGGTAGGGGGGCTTGCTGGGTCATATGGTAGTTTTATTCCTAGTGTTTTAGGGTATCTCCATACTCTTCTCCATCGTGGCTGTATCAGTTTACACACAGCTAACCTCTTAAAATCACTTCATTCCTTTCACAGAGGCAGGTCCTGGGGCATCCTAGAAGCAGAGAGAGAGCTCAGAAGAGGAACGAGTTATGCCAAACACAAATGCCCCAGGCATGGTTTCATGTCAGAGGACCCTCTTCCTTTTAGGAAAGACTATGAATCAGTCATAGTCAGTTGTGGTGAGGTGGATGAATTAGTTGGCTCTCTGTCTGGACCCAACTCTTGCTTCCCGACATCTTGGAAATCCAGCCTACATCATGGAACCCATCCTCAGGCTCTTTCTTCCAGTCTTACCTCGGGCCCTGCCTTTTTAGCTTCTCTCTTTCTCCCCCACAGGCTTTTCGGCCAAGATGGTCTCTGTGCATCCTGTGACAAGCGGATCCGTGCCTACGAGATGACGATGCGGGTGAAGGACAAAGTGTATCACCTGGAATGTTTCAAATGTGCCGCCTGTCAGAAGCATTTCTGTGTGGGTGACAGATACCTCCTCATCAACTCCGACATAGTGTGTGAACAGGACATCTACGAGTGGACTAAGATCAATGGGATGATATAGGCCAGGGGCCCCAGCATCTCGGGGAGGAGATTCACTGAAAAGTCACTGTCTCTGTGGGGTCTTACGCTCTTGGGCATTCTGGGGATTTGAGGGTGGGCTGAGGCATTTCTTAGGGGATGGTAGACCCTAACTGGGCACCAAGAACCAAGACACAGCATCCAAGTGACATAGTGCAAGGGGCAAAACTTAAATGTCACAAAACGACTGGCCTTGAGGGAGAACTTAGGGACAGTGGCCACAGCCTATGGGTGATAACTGACATGATTAGCCAAGGAAAGAGTGTTGGGGGGCTGCTGTGCCATCATAATGGGACTTCCGTCTACAGATAGGGACATGTTCTGCCCAGACTTGTTACGTCTTTGACCCTTGAAAACTAGAGATGTGCAATTGATTTATTTTCTTCCTCGTTTTTATGGAACCCTGTTCCAGCCCCTGTCCTCCATACGAGGGAAGGACAGAGATAAAGAGTGGCCTTCTTTTTCTTCTTGGCCACCTTACCAAGGCCTTAAGCTTTGGACCCAAGGGACACTGCATGGAGACATTTTAGTTGAGAATGAAAACTGCAACTTGTAACCAAACAATTATTTAAAGCAATGCTGATGAATCACTGTTTTTAGACACCTTAGTTTTGAAGTGAGGAGTTCCACAGATTGTTTCTATACAAATGTAAATCTAAAAAAAAAAAGTTGTTCAACTATTTTATTATCTTAGATTATATCAAAGTATTTGTCGTGTGTAGTTTAAAAAAAATCTCTGCGGAAAATAAAAATGACTGACTAAAATGCAGTGTTGTGTATTTGGCAATGACTTATAATTTGGGATGGCAGAAAAATGACTTTATATTAGAAAGGAGAAATAAGCAATTTACCTTTAGGTCAAATAAAACTTAGGTTTATGTGTGGGGTTTATAGGAGGCAGGCACATTTCTATATTACTAGCAATTAGTATGTAACAGGTCATCATGTAGCTCAGAGGGACGTAGAATAATTAGATTCTTATTGTAAAACAAGCATTTCACTTCAGCATTGTATGGAGCGAATGGAAGGCAAGATCTTTGCCTTTGGGAAACCTGTAACCTAGAAAGGACACAAATACATAAAACAGATTCCCTTTGGGAGAGAAGGTAATTACCTAGTTTGAAATGTGGCAAAGATGCTGAGCTTGACACTTCGATTTTCCAAGACGTGTGTCTCAGGGTGTTTTATGACAAGTGGTTAAAAGAACCTTACTTTGAGGATTTAAAGCAGGCACCTTGCCTGTGTTTGCCTTTCACTGCATCCAGCCCACCACGAACTGACTCAGAGCGCCACCTGCTGGTCATCACCTCTCAGGTCTCTGGTTCGAGGATGTCCCAATGACAGACTAACAGAGGTGTATTTCAATTGTTACATTAAAAATATTAGCAAGAACCACAAAGTCTTAATGTGTTTAATTATCAAGACATCAGAAACATGCATCTAGTACTACAGTTAATTAACCGTGATATTCAAGAACTTACAGGTTTGCTTGGGTTTTGTTTGTTTTTTCTTCTGGAGAAATAAGTGATGGCTCCCTTGGTCTGTAAAATACTAAAAGTGGTTGGGAAATTTGACTGCTGAGGGTGGCCTGTTTAAATCAAATCTAGTTATACTGAGTTTCAACTCAGGTGGTGGAAGGGACTGCCAGTGAGGGGATGTTTGTTCTAAATCAACAGAGGGAAGTGGTTCTCTGATTGGGTCCCTGAACCAGCAATATCAGTGTCACTTGAGAACTTATTAAAAGTGAAGATTCATGGGCTCCATCCCAGACAGAGTGCATTGGAAACTCTGGGGATGGGATTCAACAATCTTTGTTTTAACAAGCCCTAAAAATGCTTCCGACTCATGCTCAAGCTTGAGAATGTTCTCCAACATCTCCCAGTTTGGTAGAGCATCTGCTCTAAATTGTTAATAGCTAATATTTGACACAATGGTTAACCCCTGAGTAACCTTTCCACATGTAGATCAACACTGTCTACCCCTGGTCTCTAAACTGAAAACTTTTACATAACTTTGTAACTCAGCTAGCAGTTGTCATCTACCAGAACAATCACATTTTTAATCATATCAACATTATTAATAATAGATTTTAGTTATGTAAACTATTAGGTAAGAATAAAAATGATTCTTGCTTTTGAAATGTAAATTTTATTCTTAACCCCCACAATAGTACAACACACATAAGATTCAAGAACTTGGCCAATGCCTTTGCCATCTTCAGTAAAGCAATAATTAACTTTTCTGATTGTCCATAGCACCATCCTGCAGAATTATGAACACAGAGGCAGAAGCTCTGTGACATCACCCCTTGGGGCCCAATGTCTAACCCACACCTGCCTTGAGACAAGGACATGTAACGAGAGGGACCAGCTCCCAGAATTCACCTGGTGATCCTTACCTGGATGTGCAGCCAGTGCCCCCAAGACCCAGAGTCAGAGGACAAGGCACCTGCACCCTTCCCCTGTCCATGCCTTAATTCAGCAGTTAGCTGGGATATTTCACTTCCTCTTACCTTATTCATGTTTTATATCCCAAACCAGCTTCCTTTTATTACTGTCTCTAATAGAATTACTGTCTGGAGTCACTGGGCTTCCCAGGTGACTCCATAGTAAAAAATCTACCTGAAAATGCAGGAGATGCAGGTTCAATCCCTGGGTCAGGAAGATCCCCTGGAGAAGGAAATGGCAACCCACTCCAGTATTCTTGCCTAGGAGATCCCATTGACAGAAGAGCCTGGCAGGCTACAGTCCATGAGGTCGCAAAGAGTTGGACATGGCTTAGCCACTAAGCAGAAACAAAAATAGAATCACTGCTTTTCAGAGAATCTTAATCCTACAAAGTTACAACAGAGCAGTGGCTAGGAGCTTTATCATCATAAGACTGGGATTTGAATTGCAACGACATCACTTAATTACTCAACAAACATTTACCCATCACCATGTGCCAGGCACTATTCTAGGGGCTGGACAAGTATTAACTCCTTTAAGCCACAAAACAGCCCCACATGGCAGTTTCTATTTATCATCATCCACATTGATTCCAGAGAAACTGAAGTACAGACAGGCTTAGTCACCTGCTTAAGGTCTGACCACGAATAAAGGGCAGAAGTTGGCTGTAATCAAGACCTCACCCTCTGCTCTGATGCTTCTCTTAGTCTCACCTCCCTGAACCTCAGGTTTCTCATCTACAGTTTAGGGAAAATAAATACCCTCCTCCCAGGTCACTTGAAAATATATGACTTCAGTCTAACCAGGAATGTAACCAAAGTACAATGATACCAGGTCAACACCATAATAAAGGTATATAAAAAATGTTATGGAAACACAAGTAGAGAAACAATTTAACTGGCCCAGGCATGGCTATTTGGGGCATTTTAAATGTCCCCGAACCAGTAAGGAGGTAACACAGACAAGAGCAAAGACTCAGAGGCCTCGACCTTGTAGAGCTGGCAGTCAAGTGAGCCTGGAGTTTTCATGGTGGTGGTGATTATGGTCACCTTTGGGTGGAGAGGGGCTGGACCAGTGAGTGAATAAACAGGGGAGGTGGGGTTTTCAACAATTTTGAGTCTGCATGGCAAATCAAAATCTAAATCCAGGAATCTCTGAGGGACAGAGGAAGGGTGCAATGGAGGTACAAGATGGGCCTGGAACATCTTATTACACTAGAAAGTAAGGAAGTGCTTTAAAAAATGTAGGCATGTCACAAGGACAAAGAAGCCAGCTTGAAGGGGCTATCAGTGGCCAAATCTGGGGAAATTTGATTATGAAAATCATGAAGGACAGTAGTGAGTTATAAAGTGCTAGGGAAAAAATAAGAATCTGTGGGTTCATACCGATAATAAATAAATGGAGAGAAGAAAGGGCTCTCATTTACAGCAGAATCTTGAATGCTGACTGGTAAATGTGAAGAGTGTGGGAGCTGGAAAGTCATCCTTCTGAAACTATCATCTGAAATGACAGAATCAAGCAAGAAGCATCAATAGCTGCTAAATTTCAACAAAGAAAGAGCAGGGTACTTGGATGGTCTTACAGTGCCTTCCCACGGATTGTTATTCATTGCAAGGGGGAAATCCACAATTACGCAGTGGAGAAATTGGACAGCACCTTGACCAGGTAATCAGTGAGGGATGGTTGGACCGTGTGTGTCTCCAGATGTGAATCTCTGCGGAGGACACACCATCCCTGTTTTAGCATTCCACCTGAGAATACAGGGCTTGGCTCTAAGTATGAGACAAATTACCAGGCAAACTCAAAATGATGAATATTGTATTTTCAAAAAGAGAGGAGATGAAACTCTATTTTCAAAAATGTCGGTGTCATGAATAAAAGCAGGCTGTGGAATGTTCCAGATTCAAGAAGGCTAAGACGACCTGATGACTAAACCTAATACCTCGCCCTTTTCTTTCGCTCCAGTACTGGAGAGGGGAAAAGTTATAGAGGACATCATTGGGGCAGTTGGTAATATTGAAATATGAATAGGTAGATTAGTTCAAACTAATGCACAAATGCTAAATTTATTGAGGTTAACAACTGTGGTTACAAAACAAACTATCCCTACTATTAGGTAGTACATACTGAAATACTTAGGACTAAAGGGTCATGACCTAAGGAACTTATTCTCAAATAAAATAAATTCACATGTGGGTGGGTGGGTGGGTGGGTGGGTGTGTGTGGAGAGAGAGAGAGAGAGAGAGAGAGAGAGAGAGAGAGAGAGAGAGAGAGAGAGAGAGAGAGAGAGAGAGAGGTTGGAGCAGGAGGAATAAATGGCAAAGCAAATGAGTAAAAAACTGTTAAAGGCAAGGGGCTTTCCTGGTAGTCCAGTAGTTAAGACTCCACACTTCCACTGCAGAAGTTGTGGGTTCTATCCCTGGTCGGGGAATTCCTAGCCTTCTGTGAGGTGCAGCCAAAAAAAAGTTAACAAGTGAATCTAGGTAAAAGATACACAGGTGAATGATTTTTATTCTAGCATCTTTTCTTTAAGTTT